AGCGTGCCAAGGACCACGACCCCGCGCTGGGCCGGCGGTTTGTCTCCACGCCACACATCCTCCCCCAGCTCCGCGATCCACGGCGGCGGCGGGCCAGCCTCCGCAGCGAGGACACGCGTCTTGCCGAGGTTGGATGCTATGCCACAGTGGTCCGCTACGGCATGGGCAGCTGTGTCAAGGGCCTCCGCGATCGGGCGTTGTGACGATGATGTAGAGATCATCTGGGACGGCTAGCAACGAGTTTTCCGGGTGCGGGGAAGACGCCACGTGGTCCAGTGCTTCGTGGTGTCCGAGTGCGCACAGCGCAGGGGCCATGGCGTCGCCCTGCTCACAGCCCTCGCCCTGCTGGACTTCCCTGTGGCGGCGGCGGTCGTCCCACCAACTGTAGACCGAGGGTTGGCCATAGAACACGCGGACGAAGGGCCAAAGTTCCGGCGCAACGTCCCGCAATCGGGACAGGAAGGCTAACCTCGACATCGACTCATATGCGCTGCGGCCGTCCAGGGAGACGAGCACTGCATTACGTCGCTGGGCCGAGGCAACCCGCACATGGGCAGCTAGGGCATCTGCGCTTGGAGTGCAAACTGGTACGGCCGTGTGGCGCTGTCGATCACGTCAGCCCACTGCTCTGCGAGCGTGCGCGATGCCCCTCATGCCGCCGTCGGGCTTGCGAAGTGCCGTCAAGCGAGCCAGCGAGCCATAGCGAGCGCTTTCTGGATCTCTGGCGGGATGTGGGCGCGCGCCAACTAGGCAGCGGCGTCCGCGAGCAGCTCCGTAGCTTCAGCGTCCTGGAGCAGGATTTTCAAGTGCTCCGCCCGCATGCCTGATAGCCCCGCCGCTCCCTCTCTTTTCGCCTCACGCTGTGTGGTTGCTGCTGCGCCAGCGTCGAGCCGAACCTATTAATCGGGCTGGAAAGCGAAGGCTTCGGCCGGTAAGGGCGCTCGCGACTCCGGAGGCCGCCGGACTGGATCCGTCAGGAACAATTTCCAGGCCCGTGATGCTCGTGTGGTGTGCCAGCCGCGGGCAATTCCGTGAGTGCATGCACGAGGGCGCTCCGCACTGCTGCTCGCAGGAACGGGGGCGTGTCCTGTATGGTCGGCACGGGGTGACGAAGCTCGTCAGCCAGATCAATGGCATCGAGCTGCTCCCAACCTTGTGGTCCCGCCGTTGCTGGGGGCGGGCATTTCGGCACATCCGTTTGCGCGCTCTCGCTACAAAGTGCCCATGAAGGTGGAACCTGTGGTTTGTTATGTGCGAACCCATGGCTACAGTTTGCCAAGCCGCCGAGGCGTGTGAGATGTGACACGTCGTGATGCGTTTAAGTTTCGTACATAGTTGCACGATGTGTGACACCAGACATTGTAATGTCGTATAATTTCGCACAGCTTGTTTCACCGTTGTGACCGTGACCCACGGTCGTTTCTAGGCATTCCTCTGGTTGGCTGGACGGAAGTGCTTGAGCGTAGGAGCCAAAGAAGGCACTGGAAGACAATCAGGCTTGTTCCAATGCAGGAGAGTGGAACAGTCACAGCAGCAAGCCACTCACAAAGAATCATGCGCATCATTCACGCCCGGCCGGGCCGACGCGGCGAGCATCACGAGCATCATTGGCGCCCGGCCGCGCCGGGAGGTTAGAATCATAAGCATTATTGGCGCCTCATTTTTCCATTCCAGGGCATGTCGGAGCACTCCTTTTGCATACCCGACAAAAGCGAGGTCTCGTCAGGCGGAAGGATGCAGCTCCCGGCGCAGTCTAGCTCAGGAAATTGGCACCGTTTGAACAAATTTTGGTGGGCCCCCCACCCCATGTAGAAACTCCGCAAATGCCAGAGGCATCCGGAGGCTAGCTTTCGTGACCTGTGGCGACAAGCGTTTCAAGACATGCATCCTCAACACGAAGCGCTCCGTTAAGCAGGCCCATCGCCTCACCGCCGTGCTCGTGGCGTGGCCACAGGTGACACGTTCCGTCGTTTCGTCCCTGAGGCACTCGCCAGAGAGTGGGCCGACGAGTTCGGCCTTCCACACGGCCATTCCGCAAGGACGGGCTGGAACTGCCTACGTGCCTGTTGCCTTCGCGAAGCTCAGAATAGCCGTAGTAATGTCCCCGCCCAGCATGCCGCGGGCGGCCATGGCACCGGTACTGTTTCCATTCATCCGTCTGCTTTTAGGCTCCACGTACTGTTGGTGGGGCAGGTTGCTGCCGGGACGCTCCCGAGACCGACGCCTGCGAGCAAGGGGACGCAGTCGCCCCCCGTGCTCCTGCCCTTGGACAGCACAATGCTCCCCAACAAGCTGCGGAAGCGCTCCATCCCGATTGCAAATTCCAGGGCGAATGGTTCCAGCGCCAGCAGCAAGCTGCACGTGCCAGCTAGCCCCAGTGCGTTATTATACCAGCAGTATAGCACGCACGCTCGCTCATTATCGGCAGTAGCAGCAGCAGCAGTAGCAGCAGCAGCAGCAGCAGCAGCAGCAGCAGCAACAGTAGCAGCGACAGCAGCAAACGTGTAGCAAGAGCAGGAGCAGCGATAGTAACCGTAGCATTTTGTTTGTCTCCCACGCACCTTTTTACTGGCGTCCGACAAAGCAAGGTCCTGGTGCAAACCCGGGTCCAAAGCCGACTGCAAAGAGAGGCACGCGGCTGGCGAGGGGTGGCTCGAGAGCGGAGTCAGCGAGGACGTCGCCAAGGAGCGAGACGTCGCCGTCCAGATTAGCTGTGCCAGCCAAGGGCAACGAGAGGAGGCTGGCGGCAAAGGAACGGGCGGCTGCAAAGGAGAGCAAGGCGGGCCACCGAGACGCAAAGGCAGAGATTCCGAGCAACGAGCCTCACAAATGAAGCGGCTTCGTTGCTTCAGCGGCCGCCGAGCTCGATAGCAAGGACTACAAGCTTGCACCTGGCAGAGTGCGGAGCTCGGGGTATGTGTGCTCCTTGGCCTTGCGAGCTTGTACCAAGGCTGCACCGGTCGGCCACCAGCTCGGCGGGGGACTGCAGAGGTCAGGGGTGAAACCAGGGTGGTGTCAATTGCGAGCTGCGCGCCATGCCGCAACTCAAGACCGTTGGCAATGACTTCAATGCGGCGCGCGTCCTGCCTGGCAGCTGTGGCGCCAGCTTCCCTGCAGATGCGGGCGGCAGCACGCTCAAGGGGCCCCCCTCTGCGCGCGGAGGACACCGGACCGTGGACAAGCAGCAAGGTGATCACCGAGGGGGTCGTGCTGGTGACCGTAGCAGCGCGGGGCCCAGCTTGCGAGTCCAGCAGTGCTAGGCCAGAGGCGTCCAATTCGCCACAGATGGCGCGGTGGCAAAAGTCGTTTACTGCTCGCGAGGCCTTGCGTCGCCGCATGTTGCCACCCACGTGTGAATTCGGGGGCCCCGTCAACGTCAAGCAGTGCGGGGGCTTCTGTGGTGAGCGCATCCGACCATGTGGGCAAGTCGAAGCCAGCAGCGGGCGAGGAGGCAGCAGCGTCCCTCAGGCAGGGCATGTGGTAGCGGGCCGGTACCCAGCGAGGGCATGCGAGGGCACGTGTGAATGCAGGGCCACAGCGCAACAGAGCCGGGAGTGGTCCACCGTCAGCCTGAAGTAAACACTCAGGCAAGACAGTACAGCGGCATCGTGGCCAGCTGCGTACTCTCTGGTGTCGACGGGAGGGAGTGCACGGAGCATGTATTGAGCGCGGAGGGCTGCATAGTAGGACAACAGCAACTTTGGGTGTCGGCGAGCACCGGCAGCCGATGTCGGACGACGCTTTGTTGTTGTTGCTGTTGCTGCAGCTGCAGCTGGTCGCTGTGGCTGTCGCTATGGCTGTGGCTGTGGCTGTGGTGCCTTTCCTTTGGTGGCTGTGGTGGCTCTGGCCCGTGGTGGTGGTGGTGGTGGTGGTGGTGGTGGTGGTGGTGGTGGTGGTGGTGGTGGTGGTGGTGGTGGTGGTGGTGGCGGCTGTGGTGGCTGTGGTGGCTGTGGTAGCTGTGGTGGCTCTGGCTCTGGCCCTGGTGGTGGTGGTGCGCAGCCGAGTTCAGGGTACGTGTCGTGGCGCTTTTGGCGCGCAGAACGAAATTCCACGAGCAGTCGGTCAAGTGCCAGAGCACGAGCTTTTGGGCTTCTGCTCGAGGGCGCGGGCGTGGAGCCGATTTTTCGGTCTCGTCCACAGCTGATTGGCGATGCATCATATGCTAAGCTCCGCGTTACAAGCAGGAAAGAAAAACTGTTCATTCCCGCACATGGCTGGTGCAGGTCTTGAACTAAGACGCTCTCTGTATACTCACGTGGAATTGGAGAGCAGTGTCGCGTCGCAAGCTACAACCGTGCCAAAGCTTCAAATGCACGAACGAAAGGCTTGGCATTGCGGCGTCGTGCGATCATGGAGGGCAGGCGACGATGCCGTGCTTGCTCCCTGAATCCTTAGACTTATAGACAGACGTAGCACGAACAAACATGACAAAAGCGCTGCCAAAGCGGAGTGTTGTCAAGCATGCCTTCAATTGCGTTCCAGGATCAGAGGAGCAGATCGCGTTTAAATCAAGTAAGCCGAACGCATTCGCCGCGGGTTCTTGATCGTCTGCCGACTTCATCCTTACTCTAGCTTGCGGCCGACTGTCACATGTTCTGTCGATTGTACAAAACACGGCTTTGGGCACCAACTTTCCAGAAAAAGACCCCAAGTCCAACGCTAAGCTCGGGCTCTCAAGTGTTCATCTTCCCTTTGGATTATGTCTCGAGTCCAGTAAGATGCACGTCTCCCTTTGGGTGTGGATATAGGCTCGAATATATGAGTTTATGAGGGAGTGTTTTATGAAGCAATGGGAAACCGTGAATGCATCAAGCACGGCCTTCAGCAGGCATATTGTTAAGCGGTTCGCATCTTGCGGCTACAAGGACTGTAGACAAGTTTAGCTGATCCGGCCTCACCGGGACATGTCACGCTTGGCGTCTGGACACCTGCCATCCCTACGATCTCTGGCGCCGCAGATGGCCTCAGAGAACCAGGCACAAATCAAATCGATGATTTTCTGAGCTCTGGTGCAGGTACCTCGGTTGCTTCGCTGCTTCTACTGTCGCTCTCTCCTCGCAGCAATGGGCGCGATCGCCATCATGGGAATTGAATGCAGAGGAATTTGCCTGTCCTCTCGGCTTTGGTGGAACAAAGCCATCACTCTCTGCTGGAGGATTGCCTGCCCAACATGCCCCACCGTGTATTCGCGACCACGTGTTAGTCAGAAGTCAACGTGATCATCGGAATGCAAAGGCAGTAAGACACTCCAGCTGCGCAGGAGCTACACAGGAGGGAATGGAACGTGTGGGCAACTCGAAAGCCTGACTAAGCTTGATACTTGGGCCTTGCACTACAATATTGCTCGACGAGGCTGTACTGCGGCCCTTAGGCCATCTTAGGCCCAAGGCCCAAGGCTGGCCTTCTCGGACTTCTCCGGCTCCGGCCCGTGCTCGGGCGACGGTCCGCGGTCTGCCGGCCGCTCGTTTCGGGACGGCCTCCGCAGCGGAGGCGCAAGTGAGAGAAGATATGACAGAACTGCTTCTTGCCCTCACCTGGATGAACTCCCATTGCCACAGCCTTCAAACAGGCATATTTTTCTGTCACACAGGCTGGAGAGTCGCGGGACACCTCTGTGATCTTGCAACCATGCCTGACGAAGGGGAAGTGCGCACAGATGCACGCAGCAGCACGCAGCACAGCCAGGGCCCCGACCAATCGACTCTCGAGCTCGGCTGCTCGTAGCTCTCTCTGCTCGACAGAACGCCTCTCAGTCAGCCATGCTTTCGGCACCGATGGGTCTTCTGCGCCCCACATTTGCGGCATCTTTGGCCTCCTCGCTGCGAACTCGTGCATGTTTCGGGACTCTGCCTGCAAACACAGCACAGGCCCAGTCGTGGCCATTCAGCAGACCCTGTCGTCTGCTTGTCCCCATTGGTTCCTCGGCAACTTCGTCTTGGCGGGTCTGCAGCCTCCAAACACACGGGAGCAATCTAAGCAAACCTGACTCGCGCCCTCCAAGGCCAGCACCTTGCTTCCCTGGCCGCCAAGTCTCGCTCCCGTTTTACCAGCTCCTGAGCTAGAAATCGTGGCAGATTGACCAAGGTCTGAGTGAGCGGCGCACAGCTTCATCTTCCGCAATCCGCTTCTCTCTCGTCGCAAGGCGACCTGCAATGCAAGGCACGTCTCTGAAAAGCGAAGCCAAGTGCTACCAGCCTGCGCGTTCGCTGAGCCGCAACCCGGCCACCTGTCGGAAGTCGTCACGTGTCGTCACGACTACTTCAGCACCTGAGACATTTTGCTTTGCCTCTACGTCGGTCGCCTTCGTCACGTCCCGCAGTGCGTTTTCCTCATGTCCACTTACAATATGGTCAAGCACTGCATTCCTCTCCGGAACTTGAACTCGCACCTGCACTTGCTTCTCCTTGGCCAGCGACACCTCTCTCTCTTGAATCACCTGCCAAGGCTTCAAAAGCTTCAACGAGGAGACAACGCCCAGCTGGGAAGAAAAGCAGTACATGTGCTCATTGAGGATGGGCCGACTTGACGGCTGGTAGAGCAAAAATCGCGTAACCCTGCCAACTTGAGATCAGATCCCCTCTATACTTCACTGATCAAGCGGAAGTGAGTCAGTGCGGCATCTAGGCAACGTGATGACTCTCAGTTCTCGTATGGTGGCAATCAGGGCGTCGTGGGCACTATTGTCCTGATAACTTCGACGCTTATCTTTTGCTACAAGGCAAAGTGATGCTGGTCTTTCACTAGCAGATCAGACCACGGAGTCGAAAGCCCATCGACTCGTTCCTCAGGATTGTTGTGCGCATCAGATCAACACTCAGACCATCTCAGACCTGCTCCCTTGCCATTCACTACTCACTACAATAGGGAACGAGTCGGAGTCAGGCATGGAATCTCTGGACATAAGCAGCTTCCAGATTGCCGGTAGACATCAGAATGTAGGACGCCCTTGGTGCCTGTCCGGAATGCTGGCACTGCCGAGTAAGCAGCTGTTTCCTGGAATCTTATTTTCACAAGCTGCCCCAAACGGATGAAAGTCCTTGGCAGGTAGTATGTGGGGGAGCCTGGCCCTTTAATTGTCAGGCCCAAGGCATCATGATTCCGTACTTGACTCCATTAGAGACACATCTCCGTAGTGTTGGCTGTTGGGCCGTCGCTTGGGGCACTGAAAGAAGCGTTATCAGCGCAATGGCTGCAGCCAACGCTGGGCAGTCTTCTGCCAATCTAGGGGCTTGGATGCGCAGCCAGCGGTCGGGCCCTTCCAATATGAGGCCCATTCAATAATATATCCACGGCTCGATAAACAAGATTGCAATGCCGATGGCGGGGTCCGGTCATTGCGTGGCATGCCAAGCCCCTCATTCAAGCTTGCAGCAAAAATTGTCAAAAATAAAAGCACGATGCTCGATATGTAGTCTCGTTCAATGCCACTGTTTTGAATGTTAAAGGCTGCCCTGTACGTGCAGAAGAGCAGCCCATTGCTTCAACTCTCTGCGCGCTTGGCACAGACAATATCAAGAGTAACACGGGCAAAGACCTGATAACATGATATCAGCATGTCGGCAAATGTCTGCTGCTCGGCTGGCTTCAGGCCACTTCAGGATTCCTTGGCTGCATCACAGCTTTGCAGGGTTAGGCCTGTCTTGGCCTATGCACGCAAGCAATGGCTCCTTGATCCTGCTTCTGCCTACGAGTGGCCACGAGCTCATACTCAACCCCGGAGACATCGTTCCCTGTTTTTGCCTGTGACGGGCAAATGCTGCACTTCGAAGTGGTATGATGCATGAGCCCTGTAGTCAGAAACACGGTTGGAGTGGCCAGGCTTTCTTAGACAAGAACCGGATCTTTCTTGTAATTCCTGCGGCCTCGAAATCCAAGGCTTCATCCGCGGGCTTGAAAGCAGCCCACCTCAAGCACGAAGGATCATGGACGGTGTACCCAGATGTTTACTTCTTGGACCCTTTTTCGCACCTGCTAGCCTTTGCCGTGCTACCAGTAGTTGGAGCTACAACGCAGAGGCTCGCACTTGTCAACAACAACTCGAATGTAGCCCTTCACCATCCTCACTGAAGTGTTCTGCATCCTGGCGTTGGTTGCTCCACAATCAAGTTGCGAATGCACTGGAAAGGATGAGCTTCAGAAAGATGCCGCACTGGCGGCATGTCCTGATTGATGCACCAACCTTGCACACGTCGGCCACCTCCTGACGAGGCCAATGGGCGAAACACTACAGAAGGGCATGCCCCACAGGCCGTTGGGATCTCTCGACTTCGGACAAGCCTTGTTTCGGAAGGATATCGTGCAGACACCTGCACACACTTCGGAGTGAGCGTCAGAACTGTAGCTTCTGAGATACGTCCATGTCATTGAGCCATCTCCCAATACACGAGAAGTTCCAGGCTGAAGTAGTTCAATGCATCCTTCAGTCAGCAGGTAGCCTGTGTCGTCGCCGCAGATAGCTTCCCAAACGCCTTCAGTGCCTTCGACCTTCAAGGCCAAGCAGAACACCGCTTCGACGACCACAAGACACAGCTTGTTGAAAAGATCACTGCAATTGATCAAGCCTCCCGCATCAGCACGCTTGAAAGAGAAGAGCACCAAATTCAGCATGAGTGGTCGGGACCTAATTCCTGTTGCTGGTTCGAAGGCCAGGCCCACGTCCACGACTGAGAGGCTGGTGGGGGTGGCTCGTGTTTTTGAACCTGGGAGATCAAATCTGGGCACTGTTGTTTATCTCACGGACATCGTTTACATTGGCCAACAGTTGGCCACAAAGCATGTTTTTGGAGGCCGCCCGTATCCCGTACCCGTATCCTCCTAAAGGCCTCCCAGCCTCTCAAAACCAGGCCGGGAAGCGAGGGTTTCACTGGGTGGGTGACAAAATTTCGAAACCTGCCTCAGTCTCTGGAGGTATATTTCTTTGAAAGGAGCATCCGTCATCCAAAAACAAGCTTCCGATCGCTGTCGCTGTAAGTCTGCAGTGCTCACAAGTGCAATAGCGACCTGCTCGGCTGCCTTGGTGCACTTGAGCATGCAGTTGAAGCCCTGGCAGTACGTCCGCAACTTAGCTCTTCAGATGCACTGTACAGGGATCGAATACTGTCGTCATAATTTCTGATCTTTTCCACGCCTATTTTTCACACTCCAACAACATCCTTTAGACTCAGCCTTCTATGATCTCACATGACTGCCTTTTCCAACTCAACCTCAGCCTCGCCCGGTGCATCTGATCTACCTATGTCGAAGAAGGCTGAGTCTCCATGAGCACGTGCTACGCAAAGAAATCCGATTCGTGACTCGGCACGTCGGCATGTGTACTGCACGTAATTTACACCTCATGCGCCGGAATATCTGCGTCGACCTACAGCCAAAACACCAAGACATGCGGCTACATGTCAATGTAGCTGCTGAGAGATCAAAGACAAATACTCTAGCATGGTTATGGCCAGGCAACAAATAAATAGGCTGCATCGAGCCATCTTGCAGGCTGGCCACAAGCAAGAGTATCACTCTCATCCCGACCACGGTGAGAAGTAAGAGCAACGCTCTGCCCTCCTGAATCAGCTGCAACCATGCCGCAGTCAACGAGGGCAAGCCATTCTAGCCCTGGACCTTTCTACTGGTTTGTATCGCCTGTGTCTCGGCAAGTGCCATTGCGAGGCTGCCGCTGCAAGCATTGCTCCAAACGAAGGGGTTCCCCCTGATATATCAGTCAGGCGTGATGCGACTTAAAAAGCAATCCAAAACACCTGCCCAGCTGCATGTTCTCAGAAGTCGGAAATTGATCGTCTACCAGAACACAACGACAGCTAACACCAATGCTGAAGGATGCTCATGATCACACGCCACAAACACTGATCATCTTGATCTTGCTTTGCCACGACGCGCTGAACCTACTGGCCTTCTGGTTTGACGAATTCTGAGACGTGCGGGAAAGCTGTACTGTATAACAGTGGCAAACTGATCACCACTCGAACAGGGTGAAGCCCTTAGTTGTGGTCCTGCTGGTGACTGGATGTCGGAAGCGTTGTCCTACTTCGCGAAGCGACCCAGACGCGGCACTAATAACTCGAGTGAAAGCCCCTACGAGGTCACGGCATGCCACGGCCACGGCAGGACCACAGCCAACATACTTTGAAGGGCAGCAAGCCTTTCTCTACTGCAATGCGTGTTTGCATCGCCAAAGGCTGCTTCAAGCCGCACAGATCGCAACCGTTGTTTGTGCAACATCCACTGCAATAAAAGTGCATCCAGTCTTGACAAGAAACGGACCTTGTAGAGAGGATGTCGAGCAAACAACTGTGGAAGAAGCAAGGACTTCGTCGCGGTGCGGTGTGCTAGGTAGCTTGGGTAGCATCTTACGAAGTCCTTATGGAGTTAGCCTTTTGTTCTGCGGAAGAGCCAACTGAAATCTCTGAGACATCTGCAAGTCTGTGAGTGGGCTGAGCTCTCTCTCCCACATGAACAACAAGCCACCGGTAAACGCATGCGGGCGAACATCTGTCCGTGAATTGAGCAGCACGAAGGTCAAAGCATGTGCAGACACAGCAGCAAGGAAGGTGATGAACAAGAAGCACACGCAGTTTTGCAACATGCGGCTCGCTGCTGGAAGCCGCCCGATGCTGAATCATGCATACCACACACGCCGTGCCTCTGTCGGTCTATGACCTATGCAAATCCAAAGCTCTCTGTTGGCAACGCCTTGCTCAGCTTGCACCGCAACTTCTCCTTGGAAGAATACCTCCGAATACAACACAGTTGATGACGGCTGACACAAGTACATTCCAGGCTTGGGCACCTGTGCAGCACAATCTGGTTGATGCAAGTGTGCGCCTTGCAGACATGGATAACAACTACCCTACAATAAGCTGCAACCGAGGTTGAATGACACTCTCCTTTTTGGAAGTCCAAGGAGCGTGTGGGAGGTGCTCTTCCGAGCCCGCAGAAGATATTGCCTGACCACGTAGGCCACCGACTCTGAAAAACTGTGCAAGTGCTACCCTTCATCGACAAATCCGAACCCCCAGGACGTGCCACTCCGAAGCGCGGCTTCAGGGCTGAAAAGCCACCTGGCGGCCTCGGCACTGCCCAGGTTCCGGTCAACAGTCCGTTTGCGAAAGGCAGCGTACGCGACTGACAACGACAAGCAACAATCGAGCGCTGCCAGTGGCGAAGCCTTGGGCAATGGTGGAATACGGTGGAATCCCCGAAAACTAAACCCTGCCACCATGCTCGGCCTTTCGAAGCAGATAGCATCATGATCACATCGACGGCAGCAAATGGCATGATGCCAAGTGACGCAAAAGCTGCCGCCGGAGATCCTCCGTCATCTCCTAGCGTTGTGCACGCTTTCACCTTTTGGGGCGTTCCGCCAGAGACTGAGTGCAGCCATAGAGTCTTCCACGATCTCCCAGAACCAGGAGATCACAAGGCCTCAAGAAATCACTGTGGATGCTATAGCCTGTTGGCAGCTCTGGGCTAAAGTCTGCAAAAGCTAGAAAG